AAAGCATATGTCCTCACAGGATTTTATTTTTTTTTTGCTTTTCTCTCTTTTGGTTTGTCCAAGTATAGTTGTCATGTTTCCTTAAATTGAAAAAAGTTTATCCCTCAAGCTATTGGACGAATCAATCAACTACCTCTTAACTCATTAAATCAATTGTCTATGTACCTTTTGCTCTATTTGGAATCATTTCATTCCTATACTAGGTTATTCTTATTTATGAGACAAATGAGGGGTTACCTAAAATTAGAGTTTCTCCAAATCTTACCCTTTTAAGTTCTATAAATCTTTCACTTATGTTCCCTGCATTGATGTATAATCTATCAGTCTAAACAGAACATTTGAACTTCTCAAAACACCAGACTTAACATAAATATAACAAGTATGGATCCTTTGCTTCCATTGTGTTCTATTGTTCACTAGGTATGTAATGATTCTGAGATATTGTTGATCTTTTGGGACAACCTTCCTCTACTATCTTCTTCAATCATCATAGTATGGTACCTGTAGGCTGGTGCATTAGAAGTGTACACAAAGATGGCTAAATAATCTCTTGTTATCCTTGTAGGTGTGTTACAGATACCAACTGTCCAATGTGATGATTTCTAATCTTGTCTAATTTTATGTAACCATAGATCCAACATTTGTGTCCTATGACACTTATCTTGTGGATATGGGCCTCTCAGGCCAAATTTTCATGTAACATTACTGGTCTCACAATCGTTATATATAACGTCTTTCACTTTGTTAGGCATCTTCACATCTCATATCACTCCTGTAGCACTTCTCCGTTTGAACCACATTTTATGTGATATGTCCTCATGTCATGCCACTGTCTTTGTATATTGAGACTAGATATTTGAGTTGTCTACCTTTAGGCACCAAAATCCAATCTAATGTTCCTGACTACCACTCTTCTTCTAAAAAATATCCTTGTAGTGCAACTATTCTGCCTTACCTCCACTAATGTAATAACTCACTTTCTAGGGTACATCTTCATACTTCTACTATTGATTGACTGTAGTGAGATCGAAATAGTTGTAGGGAATGTGCTCGTCCATGGAAATCTCATTCTCCTACTGTCTCATCTTCCACTTGTTAATTATCTCTTGGAAATATGTTACAAATAACTTTGCCTCCAAGCATGATGTTTACATTTGACTTTTCACCTCCCTTTTACTTGAATAGTTAGCCTGGACTCCTCCCAGCGTCGGAAGTAAGAACATTGACCTCCTTTGTCCTTAACTTCTATTCACATAGAAAGCTGTAAATTATCAATTAAAAAATATGCTCTAGCCTCTAGTCAACCACTAGGAAAGAATATCATCTTCCAGTAGTATGTATTAAGAAAGGGTGTTACAGAGAGCAGAAAATAACTTCTGGTAGCATGTTGAAATGAAAGGTCTCAAGTTATAGCTATCTTTTGAAAAACTTCAAAGACAGTAAACGACTGCACTGGAAAAAAGAACTCAAAGAGATGTAAGACTTATAGATTCGTGTTGCCATAACTTTAGTGAGATTAACAGAAATTTGATGGGTATGAAATTTTAATGGAACGGAGATAGGTGGAATTGGCATCATTTAGTAGATATACAGATGGCATGATGATTATGGAGTAATGCTACAGCCTACACATATATATAGTCTGTAGCTGGATACCCTGACCTATGAAATACCTACCAGGCAATTAAAAGTTTACTCCCTAACTCGAGATGTGCATTAATATTTGTACAATAATTCCTAATTCATCAAGATTAAGCTCATATCATGCAACAAAAGCACTGACGATCCGATTTGATAATGTTGATTCATCTCATAAATATTTATAGCAAATGGAACTATGTATTTTGTTTTGTTTTATCAACAATAGGGGATCAGTCTATAACTGTATAAATCCTTTTTGTGGTAATTCATATTGTGGAACTTCTGCCCGCAACTGGTCACACTCTGTGGTAAGACATGTTTAATACAATTGTTACTTTGAACTTGTCTGTTGCTTTGTAAAAGTTGATTGGTTATATGTTGAAGGAGTCGGTTTGTATATTTGTTTCTGACACTCAAATCGTCTCTTAGGTATCTCCCAAGGATATTTGAAAGATTCAATAGCACAGATGGATTTCTCTTCCTACAGGACAATACCATTTTGAACTACTGGAACCTTCTGCAAGCAGACAAATCTAAGTTGTGGATCGCCAATAAGGTAATATACCATTCACATCATGAAATTCAATTATCTCAAAAAAGCAAAATATTCATCCTACAATCAATTGAATCAGGTGCCTACATCTCGAAACATGATCAACGGAAAGGACTCTTCATGGTTCCTAAAGCAAGCAGAATTGGTGAAGAAAGTGGTAGGCACAATGCCCGTTCACCTCCAAGTCAACTACAAGGAGAGTGGTCCAACTGACCAGAGCATCGCCTTGTGCGGCTCTGAGGTGTTCTATGTTCCTCGACGTTTCGTTCAGGACTTTGTTGATCTAGTAGACTTAGTCGGTGATCTTGATATACACCAGAAAATTGCTGTACCTATGTTCTTCATGGCCATGGATTTACCTCAGAATTTTGATACCTTGCTGAATAAAATGGTTTATAAGACAGGAGCATCATCTACCAATTCGTTGAAACTGTATTCTGCTCAAGTACCAGCTGTGCACCCATTGGCTGTTTCCACTGAATCTGAATTTATAAAGTTGATAAGACTCATGGCAGCAGGTGACCCTTTGCTGATGGAATTGGTTTAAGATCTCATGTTATTGTGAAAATATTAGAAGTTGTAGAACATAACATCATGTACAATAGAGTTACTCTTCCAACTGCTCATTCCCACCTTGGAGGAAAAAGAAAAAAGGTAGAGTGTATAGTGAATCTTGTAGCTCTTTTTTCAGAGATGGCTTTTAAGCACTTTCTATCAGTCATTCAAGTGTGTATTCTTATAACAACTGCTTATTCCTCTGTTTGTCATCCACCTGATACACCTTGACAATTGATGTACAACCTTAGTTGATTCATTTTTTCTTTTTTATATCTTTTGTGGATTGTGGGAATTAGTTGATATTAGAGACAATTGTTGTGCAAAATATGTGTATGCATTTGTATGGTTAAACTCATGTACAATTGTCTGAATAATATACTAACATTTCTTATTAGAGGAGATAGAAATCAGAAACTGACATTGTAGTAAAGATGTTCCATTGATGAACCTTCCAGGTAACATGAACAGTCAAGAATGTATGCAGTAAATGACTGAGTTGCATGATTGTAGGACAATGAAAGTTGATGGATTTGTAGTAGGAAAAGCTGTTCACAGCAGGTTGTATTCACCAACTTCCTAGATTTGGATACTGCTAAAGACTGGGGTGTCCCATGAAAACTATAGCTCTCTTTTTAATATCAGTGGTTGATGGTAATAAGGTGTATAACACTTGTATGCACTTCAATCAACTCATGAGTTTAAAGTAGAAGGGGAGAATATTTCCTTTGAGAGGCATGCAACCTCCTGCTGTGAAACTAGTAGATTACAACCAGATTAATCAACTTTTGTCACAGCCAACAACACATTCTATCAAACACACCATCCACTGAGAGATGAAACAAAAATAAAACCAACTTTATTATTGTACAATCATGAAAAAGTTTTCCATTTCTGTTCATGTTTGACTCCAGAAATGGATAAATCTCATCTCAACTGAAATATTTTTCATATAGAACGGTAGCAATAGCAAGGGCGTCTCCTTTAGCCTTCACAGGGTAAAGCTCTTTACTTTCTTGCCACTTATTTGAATATGCTATCCACTCCTTTCTCCATTCCAACAAATTGAAGTCCACTTTTTCTTCCAAGCTTCTGGACAGAAGCTTGAAATACATCGATGCTCGTGGAAGATAGTATGCTTCTAATAAGCCACTCCAAAACTTGTTTGCTGATTGAAGACAAGTAAAAGATCAAAATTCTTAACTATATTTATGATATGACGTAAAAATGAAGCTTACCATAATCATGAAGTTTACTCTGATTGTACTTTCCGTTGTCATACCACATTGTTATTTGTGTCCTTGCGTTCCACTCATACTAAAAAGAAAATGCCAAAGGATTAGGAAACAGTAATGAAGAACTTGTCACATTATTAATCTCCAAGAAGTCAGCAGACAGAACCTCATCAGATGATGACATTTTGTTCAAAGCTTAGTGTAAGCTGAATAAATAATAAAAGAGAATCTTTTTAACTGGAAGAAGGATTGCCTTATGTTGCATCTTGCAATTTTCCTACTACTATCCATGTCATTTCCATAAGTTGGAAAATAACAAAAGAAGCTGGTCTCTAATGGTTATGGAAGGGTGTTTGTCAGAGCAAGCTTTTCCATGGGGTGAGTGATGGGGTTGGTCCAATCGAAGGGGGCTACTCATAGGATTTCTGATAAAAGAATACAGCTTTGTAACGTGAGTCAATGAGGGGATAACTTAATGCCAAAAGTTGTGGTCTGGGGTTCACCACAAAAGTCCCAAACTAGAAAAACTCGATAACATACAAAGTCTATGGCCTGCAGACGGAGAAAAAGCTCATTGAAGCTATTAATTTCACTTGGTTGATTCTTCTGTTTATCTATCAGTCTAAAAAACACAAGGTATATTTGAATCAGTAGCAAATTTAATTTAAGAACTTCCACTCTTGTTTTCCTTTTCCTGTTAAATCAAGCAACTCAAATTGACAGAAAATATAAGATATCTTCATTTTAGCTGTTCTCACCTGCTTCATTTCATCAGAATTCATAGCCAAGTTTTTGGCACTCTCCAGCCACGTTCCAAGTAGAAAATTATCATCAGCTGCTAGAAGCTTGTCAATGTCCTTGATAAGTTGAAGGAATTTCTGACTATGCAGACTCAATGCTTTAACATCCTCATGGTGGAAAGCAGATATTGCATCCAAGTAAACCTGGTTTGCAAGCTTGGAAAGTGATTGTCTGGTTAAATCCACCAAATCATATCTGTTGAAACCAAATACCCAAGTAGAGGTGATTCTCACATTTACAATCATTTTCGTTATGCACATGAGAAGAATAATACATATCTCCTATGGTGTTGAAAATCCTCGCAATGCCTTTCTTTTTTGTTACAGCATTTTGATGTTTCTTATTTATAATAGCTACATCACCATTAAGTTTCTTCGAGAGTATTATATAGTTTATGAAACAGTACATCACCATTAATTTCTTATTAAGATATTATACTCCCTTTCTCCCAGTATTTTTATTACTGTGGTATCCGAGCCGTCTTGCACACACCTTGACTAATTCCACGGGGTACCTGCTATCTCCCATCACCACAACTCACAAGTGCTTGGTGATTCTCTCCTACAAGGCTTGGTCTGATAGGAAGAAATCACCTAGTGTTCTATTGTATATTTTTTTTGCCTATGCTAGGATTTAAACTTGAGGCCTCATGATTCCCAACCCACTTCATTGACACTGTTGGGTGCAATATCTTCCTCCCAATTTAGAGGTCACAAGCTTAGGCACAACTATTAAGGTCAAAGTTGGGGTTCTATTATACTTGAAGGAAAATGGATTCGGAAGTAGAAGTAAAGGTCTTCAGAAGCAATTTGAATTTCTTTTTCTTAAACAGTACTGCTATTGAAATTGTTACAGCATACCTTTATAAAAAATAATTACTAGTATACAGGATCATTAGGAAAAAGCAGCTCCTCATAAAAGTTGCTTAACCAATAGCTGGTTTTTAGTTGAAAATATTTTTAATATTCAAAGGGAATGGAAAAAACAACAAAGGAATTATCTAAATAACAGGTTCAATTTGACAATTCGTATCATAAAAAAGAAGCTGCTAAAATTATGAGGTAATTGTTGACAGAAAGCCATTAAACTGCTCAGACGCTTTCTATTAAAAATTACAGACTTGTTGTTAGAAATATTGGTTCATCTGAAGATGCATTGGAGAAGGAAATGGGAGAGGTGAAGCTCATGTTGACAAAAGGTAAAGGTAAAGCCTGCAGATGCAGAACATCAAGCAGCTTGCCTGTGAAAGTTTGTTGAAGCCATCGGTTGAGCCCAAAAATGAATATTTTTCATGCATTATGGGATTCTGTACAATATAAGGGACATCTGGTAAGCTGCTCTGCCATGAAAGGCATAGAAGCCACTTATATGAGTCAGGGCTTCTTGCTCAGAAGTAGCTACTCGGATTTGCAATTCTCCAGGCACTAATGTCACCATTGTACAACACTAGGCTTTATTGGGTGCTCTGAGACTTTTGAAGTTGCTAATTATGTAAGTGGCTCTAGTTTTGTTCATTCGATACTACATTTTACAGTATCCTGACATAGATTGGGGGAAGGAAAGAACAACTTTTTTTGGTATGTTGCTTTTCTCTTCTATATTTTCTAACTAATATAACATGTCTAATCTGGATTATATTTATACAATAGTAGAGTCTTCTTATGCATAATAAAGCACTAATGCAATTCTTTAGGCTTCCAAACTGAGAAATTTGGATCAACATTATTGGTACAGATGCAAAGATTTCTTGGAAATTTTAGTTCACTCCCCTTTTTAAGAATTAGAATGAATAGTTGGATATACTTTATATGTGCCTGCAAATAAAAAGGATCACGTGTCATTTTTCATCACTTGTGGAAGTCAGAATAAGCCTTTACCTATATGTGAGGCTTCCCGAAAGTTCTTTTCCTGCATCAAGGAATAGCTTTAATGCCTTGATGACATCCTCAGTAGAATACCATAGGTGAGGCTTTGGTAGACTGGAGCTTTTTTCAGAGAAAAGGAACCGTCTATTCCACTGGAATCCTGCAAGTTGTTGCATCCCGTTCTGATTGGACATATCAGTCCCCGAGATACCAGTTTCTGTCTTCCCTGAGGGATCCCAGTCAGGGAATTTCACAATGTAGTCCGTGTTGTGAAACTAAAAATTGCACAAGGAAGAGGCCAGGGTGAGGGATAGAAACAAATGCTAGTGACAAATCATGAAAACAGGGATGTAGACATTTAGTGCATCGAAGAATTTTCTTTCAGATCATGGCTTTAATATAAGATTTCTCTCTTTTCTCCTGAATAGGTTATGATAACTGAACATGATTTTGATAAGCAAACATACATACGAGGAAAGAAATTTGTGAAGGATTTCCAATGTGCACGATATGCATTTTCAGTTGAAGAAAGAAATTAGTTCTGGATATTCGTATAGCTTTCACTAATTAGATGCTGAGAGATGCAATGAGCAGCTAATTGCATCATAATTTTAGCTAGAAAGATATTAACTAGTTATCACTTCAACCTAAACAGACATGCTATCTTAGACTGATGACTCCCTAACAGAACTAATCCAGCATATATACATCAGAAGCTCCAGAATATTACATGTCCTCATATGCAAGAAATGATTAGCAATCCATTCTCCTTAGAATCACAAGATGTAGGATTAGATGTTTAAGAACAAACAATTATGAATAACTTACAGCTATTCCATCAGTACAGTTGTAGATTGTATGATAAAGGATCTCCCAAGCAGCTTCAATTTGATCATTCACTTTACCATAACGTCTACGAGAATAGGATTTCAACCATCCCTAGCAGCGAAACAAATAAAATCTGATGTGAGGATCGGTGCTAAGAATAAATTTCGGTTTTAGGAGATTTAAACACAGGTGAGACCAGTGAATATGAGCTTCAAAGATAGCATAATAATATGACATAAGTAATGGTATATTGGCAGTGTATTCAAGAATCAGTGATAAAAATGCACATACTCATCAGATTAAATGACATTTGGAGACTTTTGGTTTTCTTAAAAACTAGCCTACAAAATTGATTGATATGGAGCACAGCAAGTATCAAAGGAACTTACAGTAACATGAATCAGTTTTCAGTAAAACAGCAAACAACTACTGAATTATATGACACCTTTTAACATGCACCAAATACCAGCTTTATATAAAGGGATTCAATGAAATATGTCCAAAAAGGTCAGGGGAACTCATCAAAGATTATTAAGCTCAGTAATTCCAATTCCTGCATTTGCATAGGAAAAAATACTGCACAAAGATGAGTTTTTTGATAAAAAAAATTGATATGCACACAATAGAGGCCAATCAGCTCAAACCTCATCCTCAAGGCACTGCTACTGTTTTTGTGTCAAGCATATAGTTCGAGATAAAAATCACCTTTGATCCAAATCAACATATTTTCATAAGTTTCGAATTATTTTAGAGTAAAATTTCAAAAGATCACAGGAGAAATTGACAAAAGCAGAAGAATAAAGCAAAACCAAGACACAAAGGGTTCTTGGCTGAAAGTTGATTCAGTTCTATAGGTTTTAAAGTTCTGAATTCTTAAGTCAAAAGTATAGCATTATGCAACAGTTTTGTTGTATAACGAGCTTAGAAGGCATATAAGTTAAAACAGAAAGGGAGATTGAATAAAAAAGGCTCTTACAGAAAAATGAGCAAAAATTTTCTGTGGTGATAATTATCATGAATCCTCATGATTTCTAATTGACACAAGATTGTTACCTGAAGTTGAAAATTACCCCCTCTAAATGCCATTTCGGGCATCAGCTCATAGACAACTGGATTGTGTTCTATTCCTTCCATGCACATTCCAACACCAACCTGCCAAAGAGTATCCAGCAAGCAAAGAAAAGAGTAATGGACATTTGACAAATTCAAGGAAATGGATTAAAAACGTATGCAACTGTTCATGAGGATACAGAATCATAAAAAGGTCTGAGGTTCTAAATAATACCTTTAGAAAGAAACAAATAACAAAATATTTTTAATGAAATGATAAGAGATTTTACCATTGTTGAGTTCTCACTTGTGCGGGCATCAATAGGACCAGAAGCCACTGCATCTAACACTCCATACATTTCAATGTTGCCTCCAAAGTTGTGCAGCATACACCTTTATGTTTTGTTAGAGTAACATTAGAAAAAGAATTGATTGATATTCAAGCTTCGATGATACGTGAAACAACATATTTAGGAACCAAATCATACAGAGTTGTTTCTACATAGAACCCTCTGATTACCAGATATAAGGAGTGCCATAGAATTGAGAGGATGATTTCCATATTGGTTTAACATCAGCAAATAGATCAAGAACTATCATCTTCCCACGTGGAACAGAATGTAAAAGTGCCTGTTTGAGAGCAAAAGAGTAAAATTAAGTAAGAAGAACAAGAAAAGTAAGAACCACACACTCGCATGTACTTCAAGTCAGAGATCCTTTGTTCTAATTTTCTCCTGGTTCATCTCACTCAGTTTTTAAGTGAATATATGTATAAAGCAGAAGCAGAAAAGGGAATTTGGGTAGTGAAATAGCAAGCGCCATTTAGTAAAACTTTTCTGTGTAGTAAGTTGTGAAGAATTAAGAGAAGAAATATATTGATGAAAACAAGACACTTATATGTATACGTGTCAAACACTGTCTATGGGATACTGTGCAACTTAAAAACTAAACCTAACATTCTAACAACATTTAAACTCTAACAAGCAGCCTCAAACTGAAATGTGGGAACACCAACTTGAATGAACTTATTTTGTTAACATAGAACAGTAAAATAATCACATAATAGTATGCCAGGACAACTATCAGAAAATTTTGCAAGAAAGGCGCCATAAAAGTTAAGGTCAAAGGAATCTTAATGGAGAAGTTTTGATCACCGAAACTCGAAGGATAAGTACACAGGAGAGTGATCAGAGTAGTGAGCGCAAAAGGCAGTTTAGACATCAATGGTAACCAAAGAAAAAAGGTGTGGCACCACCAGATTGGTCAACAAAAATACTCGCGATCACCTGAAAGCGGTGCAATGACGCCGAAACAACCATAGGAAACCCGCAAAAAAATTACCATAGAAGAGGTCCCGAAATGATCGCCCCGAATAGGGACGGTGCATAGACTAGTCACCAGAAATAAGGAGTAGTGCCTCCGGAACAATCGCCAGAAACAAATAAGAAGAATATTATAAGATTATGAAAAGAAAGATAAATGTTGCCCATGCAGACTACATAAGATTGCTACTCAGTAAGCACAAACCAGAAGCTATCTGGGTCTCAACCAAAATCACAGCGACTGATACTATAAGAAAATAAGAGAAGTGAAAAGATGTATTGATGACTGGTTAATCAGAATACAAGACAAACTTATTGATGAGTGTCAAATTCAATACATATGATATTTGTCAAATGTGTGACAATATACAAGCATTTTACTGATAAAAAAAACTTTAGAATTTGATAACATTCTAAAAATAGTACAACACAACACATAAAAAATATGAAGCAATAAATGATATACTAAAGTACAAAGTGACATGGCAGTCTGATCATGTCATATAATGAAATAAGATTACTTCATCTACTAAATTGTACCTCCATCTGTGGTGGCTTCCAGTATTTGGAGTCAGAATAAAATAACCAACCCTGCATATTGTCAATCAAATAGAAGTTTGTTCATGATCATGCAGCAATGTAGAAGTACAAAACTAAACTTTAATGTACGCTGAGCAAAGAGGCCAATCACAAGAAAATTTTGTCTCAAGGCATATCTTTATACAAATACCAATACTAAGTAAATGGAGTCAATGACAAATGAACTTCATTCACCACAAGATCCAAACCTAATGACATACTACTTCATTTGTGAATTGCTAAAAAGTGATGAAAGAAAGATCCAGTTACTGATTCAACTTTCACTCTAAGCCACCAGGATCCAAGATTCACATGCATAATCATATATTGTTGAAGTAATAACAGAACGAGCCATTGAGCTTCAGAGGTTTTCCATCTTCTGGTAAAAACATATACAAAGACCATTTGAAAAAACAGAAAGTGGATTCCATTGACTAGGGGTTTTTCTTTCCAGACAAGTAGTTTCACCTCATGAGGGGTTCTTTTGTTTGACAACTTAAACAGTCTTTTTCGTATCTGTTTGAATCAATGTAAAACTTAGGTTAATAAACTCGAGCGTAAAATATATTTGTTCACAACTGATTGATCCCACCCATTGGTAGCCAATTCGCTTATCTTACCGCTCTAACACCACCACAGACACACCCTAAATCCCCATTTCTTAAGTTTGCTTTTTTCTTCTTTTTGACAGAGTAATGGCCAGGCTGTTTACAACATTTTACTAAAGCTTTTACCATAATTCTCTTCTTATAAAATAAAAACAGAGGAATTGAGCTCACATTTCTTATGTTATTTACTTCCAAAAAATATCTCTACATTACTTGTTTTAAGATGTCAAAATTTACAACAGAGCATAATAGAGCTCAAGTTATGCTATCATTAAACAAATCAGTAGCCAAGTAAGAGTATTAGTGGTAAGAGTAAGAAGTATACTTGCATCAACCACACTGCATTGCTATTTGCTTTTGACATTGCTTTGAACACAGCAGATCCGAGAGATGAAATATATGTTGGATCATCAGTAGGTGGAGTGTTCTCATTGAAAGTATCACTGTATAAACATGCAACTTATCAGATTATGAATCATAAACCAAAAATTGATATGGAACTTTTAATTCCCTGTTTTAGGCACTAAGAATAAACCTTGAGTGGAAGTTAAAAGAATTCTAAATTTGATGACCTAAAACAGCCAGATAAGATCCCTACGCAGGGCATTAATTGTCAAGATCAAGAAGTTCTTGACTTAGTTTGCAAGACCCTGTTACAAGTTCCACCCTTAAATGTTCTGATCAAAAAGTGTTCTGACTCTCCAATCTTACATGGATCATATAGGAGAAGAGACACTTCAAGAAAAAAGAGTATATTATGACTAGTACTTACAGGCTGCAAGGTGATGATTGTACATTTAAGGGAATAATGAACAAGTAGGACATTGTCTTTCAGTTAAATCTAATTTTTTATTTAGCTTTAAGATATAAATTATAAATCTTTATAGCCTCATATCTCTCCTAATGTCATTAACTGAATTTCAGTTCAATCAATAGAGTCACTGTTAGGCAACAACATACAAAAGATAAGGAGCAAAAAAAACAACCCTTTCAGGCTTGAAAAGAAAGAAACCCTAAAACATGAATAGTAAACCAGATCAAAGTGAAAGAAGAATTTTTTTTTAATAGAGTAGATCAAAGTGAAAAAACTTGAAATTGCTTGTGAATTCAATGCACTTAATTAGGCTAGAAGAAGTAGTTTAATGGGATGATGGACTACCAGTTGTAGATATCAGTGATGTGTCCGTATTCTGCAGTGAACATACAAAACATGAATCACAAAAGAGTCAGTTGAGATCAAATGACAGCAAATATCCTATTAAGGCTGCAAAACAGTTACTCTATTTTTATCAAAGACAAGGCGAGGAAGTTGACCCTGCATCAACTTGCCAAATAAACAATATCAACGATGATTCATGAACTATAACCAACCATATGGCTACATCACTGAAATTGGGAAGTCGCATCACAGCCCCACCCCCACAAATATGATCATCATTATGAAACTAGATCCACTAGATATGTGCTTTGCCTTCTTCCTCAGCATGAATTGAGGTCAAACAAGTAATTTTCCATTAAAGCACCTTATACTGCAGTTGGACTAAAATATAGGCACTGGGAGAGGAAGAGGGAGAGAGAGAGAAGAATTTGATGTTGAAAGTCGTACTACTTGAGGGGTTGGAATTAAATCACTGATATTCTTCTTATCTTTTCTTCTTCTAGTGAAAGGAGGCACCAAGTGGAGCAGATGTTATTCTGAGCTTCTTTTCATTTGGGGAGGCTTAAGTCATAGTCCTATTTTTACAATATTCACACTACATGATAGAAAAAACTAGCAACCTCTAGCACATACTATCAACAAAAACAACAATATTTTAAGTATTTTTAGCTCAATTGAAGTCATCATAGAAGTCTAATGGTATATCGATTATTGGCAGGACCACCACACTCATCAACTTTCTGATATTTATTGCCAAGATGCTTTTTCTTCTTTAAGAGGTATCTGTAGAAAATGCATCAAGCACTCTATGAGCTTTCCCTTCCTTACCATGTTATCTAGATTTAACTTAAGTGCAAAACTTATTAAAACCATACAATGAAATTCATATTAGGTGTGTTGCTCCGCTCATGGTTGCTCAAGGATTTTAAGGAAATAATTACACTTAAAAAAGCAAATAGAAAAAGAAGACTGATCCACATTGATATAAGCATTCATTAGGGCATGACTGATACAAGTGCTAATTGTTAAACCATTAGTACTAAATATTTTAAAGGCACAAATACAAGCATACCATCCAATTTCGGACTGAGGGTACAGATGCGGAAATTGCTGAAAACTGGACTCATGTTATACGACTAGTAGATTCCAGCAAACATGTAAATACCTAATACAAAGATCCTCTGTAGGAACAAACCCATGCTCCCAAAAAAGAATTAAAACAGATGGACAGAATACAACTTCAGAAGTAGAATAGCACGGATCCAACATAAATTATAGGGTTTTAATTCCCGGGGAAGTCCCAAAAGATATGTAGTCAGGGTGAAACAAGTTGATCTTGCTAGAGAAGTGCAGATTCAAGTGCTGGCCATTTATCTCTTTCCTAGGGAAGTGCTCAGCCATGTGCTTGTCAAGTATGTGAGTTTTGCTTTTCTCTAAGCTTCATCATATTTCTGTTTCTAAATGTACAAGGAAGGGAAAAGTATGTCAATAACTAAAGCAATCGTTCTTTCGAATTTGTGCAAATTTATCAGGATATTTTAAGTTTGTTTGTGACAATGTGGACACAGAGAGGATCCCCTAAGTTGGTGCAGGTTCATCTCTTCATACTGGCATTAGACTTCTGGACAAGATTTTAGAGGTATAGAGTTGTGGAGAACTCATTGGTTTTGCCAATGAAGTGTAGTGGCATGTAACTTTTTTGTATTTTCTTTTTCTTTCCATTAGTTCATTTAACATAGAATTGGAAACAGATAAGTGTAATGTGTTAAAAATCTTTGGCTCCTTAATGTTCTATGATCAAACGGATAAAGATAAAGCAACAGAACAAGAATAAAAGAGGTTACGAAGTTCCACAAAAGTTTAGAATCCTTTTACATTTTTCAAGTCCAAACAACTTTTGTTAATGTTCCGTTCATTAAAGGAGAATCCTGAAATCATTCAACTGAAAGCAGAAGTATAGCTTACCCTTAATCTGTTTCTGGATAAATGCCTCTCCAATTTCGATAAATAAGGGATCGGAAGGAGATAGGAGAAAAGTACAACACCATCGAGAGTCACCACTAACAGTGTTCCTAAGAAAAGTATAAACTCCATCATGTTAAAAAGATCAAATCTTCCCAGTATCTGACAATGAATGTTTTCCAGCCAAGTTCGATGTACTTATAAGGGAGCAATTTAGAAACATAGAAAGATTATAATTATCAGGGACAGAATTTTTACTTTTAGAAACAAAAGGTTCATCGTCACTTAACAAAAGTGAGTCCTTGAAACCTCCTCAACAAAAAAAAAAAGTTCATCCGAATTCATAGATTGCTCTATACGAATTTAAAATAGGAAACCTTTTGTTTGTTTTTAGATTATAGAAGAGAAGTCGGTCAGAAATTTAGAGTACAGAAGAAACAAACTAAAAATGGCACATCTCACTAGCTGTCATAAGCTTATCATCTAGCACACATCACAGAAATCAAACTTAGTTAGAACCATGTTGAATAGAAGTTCTATAATTTCTCATGGAGAGTGAAGCGCCGGGAAAGAAAGAGATTTAGAAATATATTCTCAAAACAAAAACAAGAGAAGACAATGTTATGAAAAGGACCAGCAAGATGGAGATGTGGTCAACCGTATCCAAAGAGAAAGTTAGAAATAGTTCTCCCCAAAGATTTTCTATTACTTGTTACCATTCTTTAAAAAAAAAAACTGTACCTATTTGACATCCTCTATTTTTTCTGACAAAAACGTTTATTAGTCAAAAATAGGAGGGAAGGAAGAGATGTCTCCCAATGCGCAATGTCAGTTTCCATCTCAAACTATATAGAGGCTCAGCGAGGATGTTAAAGAATGAGAAATATTCAGCGAAGAGTAGCAACAAGAGTGATGTTTCCTGTGCCTTCTAAAAATCAAAAAGAGGCAGGCAATAAATGCATAAAATGAGGATCAACACCTCATCTCACATGCTATGATGGCAGAGCGTCTCACATGAATTCGGTGGAAGTGGAGAATATTACCCAAAATATGCTTATCATATGTGACACAGTATATTAGTACTTCTAATAAATACGATCTAAGAGGAACGAAAGGAACAGAAACATTTTTAAGGGAGACAATAAACTGGAATTAAAGTTAGCAAAACTGCACACTTCAAATTGACATACCAGTCCCCAAGCCTCGTAATATTTGCAGACGGGAATATCTTTTTCAATGCAGCTGGAACATTTCCAGAGAATGACGGAAGAACTGGAAGATATTAGAGAAGAAAAAAAAAAGACAAGCAAATAAATGTAAGTAAGCATATTGTGTATTGAAGAAGTAAAGCACACCTTTAACTTAATTGGTACACCAGGCTACAACAAGCCATGGTCTGCTAATCAGAAATCAGTCATAACGAAGAAAGGCAAAATAGTTGGAAGATTTCTTTGAAACCAAAAATACTGTCATACCTGGGGTCATGCCTAACTCCTGCATCCGAGATAATATCCGTTTCTGCAATGCTAACTGAATATTTAACCAGTTTTGAGATAAAGGCCCACCCCATCTGCAGTGGAATATAGCTTTGGAGAGTAAATTAACGAAAATGAAACACAATATGATATGGAGAGGAACACACAGCAAATTTCGAAGCATAGATTCCAAGAGAAACATAATACAAATAAGGATGAATTCCGTCACATCTGCTATATGAACAAGTAAGAGTGCAGATAAGGATCCATGCTTTCACCTTTCATCTTTAAGAAATACAAAGTCTTTTGTGAAAAATGAGGGATCGTGCTAAGATAAACAACCTCGTGAAGGTTAAACATCCCATCTGGTCTATCTTACCTCGACAAGAATATGACAAGACACTATGGCAAAGGATAATAGGTAGCAAAAAAAGCATGGAGATGGATACAGTGACCTAGCTTATCACCTGCTGGCCATCCAATCATATGACAAGGATTGCATGAATCGATCAGATGACAAGAAAAATTAGAATTTTATAGATCTTATTGACAAGCAAAACTCACTTAGATGTAGTGGAGCAGCCTAAAATAGGCCTGCTCAACACATATGATGTATTCTCATTTCTTAGGTACTAAACCCTTTAACTTTGAGCACCATACCAAAGCTCAAAGTCAATTTTCTGCATGACATTTAATTCACATAATCTTTAAAAATTATATACCCTGGCCTCACAAGATACCTGAACCAGATAATATTTGTTACAATATTCAGCTTCCCAGCATTTGTTGTGGCTGGAAATGCCCTTCACTGAAAAGAGAAGTTAGAAGAAAGGGACAGATTATAGCACTCACGCGTGTAGATTTCCCATGCGAGCCCAAGCCAGGAAGGCAGGTCCACCGAAGAAATTATTTAACTCTTGGGTAGTAATATTATAATCCTGACCATCAACAAACATGAAACAGAAAGTGCTTATAAGTGTCTAACAAAGCTTCTTATAAATCAATATCAGACTGTCATGAGCTATAACTAATCAAATGCTGTGGTATTTGTCTCTTACACACATAGTATTAAGAAACCCAAGGTAAACATCAAGCAGATATAATATCTGTAGGAACATAAAACAAGGACAAAGTGACTGTAAAAGAGCTAGGAAGGTAACACGAAGCAGATATAAAATAGTCAAGACTTAAAAGAATGAAGGGTATATATTTTCAGTAAATCTAAAAGAAAATTGATGATCTGATGGCAGCTGAACTTTAAATACTTCGGCACAAAGAATAGACATTTTAATTAACAAACTTCATCTGAAATAGTGCCCAAGTTATGGTCTACTTCATAGAAGTAGATTCAAGACAGAAATGCTAAGATTAGCAATATGAAAACAACGCATGGGTTAGCAACTATAGGTTTATAGCAATGGTACTACCACAACTGATTCCCCTAACATACACACAATTCAGCCCTCTCTCAAAGGTATCAAACAGCTTGTATAAGTTTCCTTGTATAATATCAGGCAGGAACTGCCATGGAAACAACCATGGTCTAAATTAAACTAGTTGAACCCACAAAATCCAATGCTATAAAATTACCATGAAAACTTTTTGCCAGATAGCTTCTTGTCCCGTAAACGCTAGAGGTAAGTTGATTCCTTGAAGTGCCATCCAATCAATCTCTTTCTCCCATCTTTGCCAATCCCACCAAACATATGAATCTGCATGGAGAAGTAGAAATATGCTAAGCTGTTGCACTTGCAGCATCTTAAAAATAACAATAAGTAGAAATATGCCAAGTTGTTTTACCAGAGGCATCTCAAAAGATACCAACGGTAAGCATCCATAAGTGGAAAAAAACATGATTCTCCTAATGTCAACATTCAACAGAGTAGACTTATCAAGTAAAATGGTTTTCAACCAAGCTCAACTCAATCTGAACAGCTTAAACCTACTGGAATAGTTCACCAAAAATGGCTGAAACCGCAAGGTATCTACATCTCCATCACGCATTATAAATGCTTTGCTTTCTTCATTGACACGACGTCCTGATAAGTTGTCCATGAACAGAGTAAGACTCGTTACAGCCTAGAAAAGATAGGGATGACAAATCATCAAATAGATCTATTTGTCTTCTCTATTTTTCTGTTAGGATATCACTTTCAAAGATAGGGATGACAAATCGTCAAATAGATCTGTTTGTCTTCTCTATTTTGCTGTTAGGATATCATTTTTTAATAAGTTCAGGCACAGGAGAGAATTTTCTAAGAGAACCTTGGTTTTGCATAAGATATTTAATGAAAGCCCTCATACACCATATCGCTAACATACTAATAATAAGTGTCTTGAATTATGCTCAAGTATGCCAGGGAGGATTGAGGAACATCATGAATTTGGTTTCATCATCCTATGATTATATGAGAAAAGTAATGAGTCCTAAAGAGAGAAAGGAAATTAATCTAGAAAAGAGAAGGCAAAAGAAGACATCAACTTCACTTGCAGAATCACAGAAAATTGCAGTGGCATAAGGCTTTGGATATCAGAAGACAGATGCTCACATGCTTTCAAAAAATCAACCAAATACTGCATTATGTTCTCCATCATTTATGTATTGGGAGAAGACTTACTACCAGAATTTTGGTGATAGTGAGTCTGTAACGGCACTTTATAATGCGTAACGACTTATGCATAAAAGGTCGTTGGGGGAGAGGCAGAGAGAGAGAGAGAGTTGTATGCTTACAGCTGGATGTGACAACATTTTGATAGTAGTTCCATGGTACTGGCCGTTGGATAGTCACTCCTTTCGCTTCTACAAGAGGCAGTGCACCTGGCTTGGGAACTGAAGCTAACTGAACACCCCCTGTCTTGTCCCATGAAATATGAGCTCCACACTTGTACTTTAAATACCAGTTTAGACCCGATGCAATTTCAACAGCTGTAGTTCCTTGAATTCTAAGAGAGAAAAAAATCAAAAATAGATCCATAATCTAATTTAAGCCTCTTTCAACTGTATCTCTGCACGGGATAACAAAATTTGGAATATTATATTGTCTTCTACTTTCAAAAGAAAATCTGGATTACAGATGCCAAAAGAGGCTACGGCAATCAACTGTCAACCCTTAAGACTTGAATATATCATATTCAAAAGCTCGTTTTGATTACGGAGAGTGCTAATTGATATCAACAAACTAATCTCTTTAAGAATTTCGCAAGAAACTTGCCCTTTGCAGAAATCAGCAGCACCTAGTATGGGGGCAAAGTTGGCAATATTATGAACCAAGGACTTAAACCAAACAATAACTTATTACACAATGTGCATCTGGAAGAAGTAAATTAGGAGTATACAACCACCATGGTGTGCTCAAAGGAAAACAAAACTTTTTCTACACTAAAAAGAACACAACATTTTAAGCAAAATGAGTCTCACAAAAATACACGTCAAAAAGTAACATAATAAGATCCTTGTTTAACATACAAAATTTCAGGTGAATTTCTGTGTGAGCTCTTGTAATTTGTTATACGAAAGCAGCTTCTTCCACCACAAAGATCCTACATTTACATATGAAATGTCACGTATAGATTTCAAATACTCAAGCAACAAGTCAGTTCAGCAACAAAAGAATGTGCCAGTAACAAAAATATACAAATATAGAAGATCCTAACTTACAGCAGCCAAGACGATTATTCAACATCATTAGGGAGAAAAAAGTTACGGGAAGCCACTTAAATACAATCTCTTACCGTCACTTTATTCAACATCTACATATTGTATCCTTATATACACAATGACCATTATGTAAGCATCATTAACCATTTCTGATGGTACTAGCAAGTGTTACAACAGTAATTTCTTCCCAAAACCTGTACCATGATGTCTCAGGCTCAAACCCCAGCAAAGACAAGAGTGATTTCTTCTCATCTACCCTAGCCTTACTAGGTAAGAGTTACCTGATACCAGTTGTTAGTGAGAAAGGCTAGGTAAGAGTTACCTGATACCAGTTGTTAGTGAGAGAGGTATTCCGTGGAATTAGAGTTGGACACCACGGTACCAATATTTATTACAGAAACAATGAGAAGTTGACACAAAGGACATATACTGACACCATTTGTAAGCTTATAACCATAAAAGTCAACTAGGTCTTCAAAAATGACATTATCTCAACAATCTTAAGCATTTATCAATTAGAACAGAGAAAAGCAGTAAACTTTAAGTTACTGAAACAATAAATTACCAATTCCCAAACAAAAAGAGACCAAATGATAGAGACCCAAAACTGGAAAAAAAAGACAATGGAGCTAATAGTACAGTACCTTGGAGACAATCTTAAATTCAAAACTGTGCAAATGGGCCGGAAGTAACCTCTGCAAAACACCCTTAGCTGCAGATTCTTGCACTACAGATTGCGCCCGTTTGCTATCCAAACGCCTTAGTACAGACTCTACTGCATCTGATCCCAATGTTGTACATAGGAACACAGAAAGAATTGCAAGAAGAAACCAAGACTTCAAATTTATCATATTTTCTTGGAATTTGGAGCTTCAAAAACAAGTTTACTAATCATATATACTATGTTAATTTGAATACCAAATTGTGGATAGTGTCTATTTCTTTGTTAGGTTTTTGAGTAACAACATTTGGGATTTTTTAAGGTTAAGGATTACTAATGTGGGAATCTGAACATTAAACAAACAATTAGTTAGAATTTAGAGCCACTAAGTGATAATTTTGTTTGGTGTTCTTAGTTGTCTGCTTCTTTGACTTTATCTTTGACATAGGAATTCCAAATTTGGTTACATCATCTTTTAAACCTTGTTTGGATGGTTGGCACTTAAATTTAATTGAGTTGTATAGTTTGAATTTATTATTAGATAATAATAAAATATTCATTTTATTTATATATTGATTGAGTGTGATTGTATTTTTATTATTTTACATTTTCATTATATGTTTAACTCATTTTTTATACGTTTATTATTCAAACTATTGATGTGTGGCATTATAAATAATATATTTTATTTAAATATTGTATTCATTAAAATATGATGCAATAAAACGTAATACAATAAAATATGATACATTTCGAAACAATGCTTAACGACCGGAGAAAAAATTTCTTTTTATATTTTATTTTTTATATTAGTTATTTATTGATATTATAAAATTGCATATCAATTTTATATGAATATTATAACAAATTTTATTATTTTAAAACTATAAAATAAACAAATAAAAATCAACTAAAAAATATAAAATATATAGAGAAGTTGTAAAATTAAAGTTCAGTAAATCACGTGAACTCTCTCCCCAATAATTTGAGAGTGGAGAAAGTTAGTACAAAAACTCTTTTTGTACTAGGTAATTTGCTTGCGCTTTGGGCGTTCATAAATAATAATTACATTAAATTTATAAATAATTTTTATTAATATTCATATATTAAAAATAATGAAAAAATAGGTTCTTAAAAAATATTAGCAAATTCCTATATAAAATTGATTATTTGATATTATTACATAACCCAAGAACCTCTAATGAATGAAATTTTCACAAAATAATAAATCATTGGTTCTTTAATCAACATTAAAAGGAAAATAAAGAAGAAAATAAGAATATATATACAAAGGCATTTCGTAATGAAAAAAAAAATATTTAAGTGATTTATGTCTGAGGAGAAAATTCAAAAATTTATTAACATATTCAAAAAAGAAATCACGCTTGAACATGAAAGCAATTATAACTTTTGAACTTGCATAATAAATTTCTTCAATTGATAATGAAAAATATTATATATATATATATATATATATAGAGAGAGAGAGAGAGAGAATTTAATATAGAATATCCAACTGAATACAATAATTATTTTCTTCACAATGAATGTATTTATGTAGGAAAAATTACATAGCTAATCAAACTTATACTATTTAATTATTCATCATATTTATAGTTTGCTATAATTTACCGCTCGCGACTAATATTGTACATTAATTACATGGGCTGACTTCGAGTTTATATAATTAGTCATGTTTGTATGTGTATAATTCGCCAGGATATACAAATAAATATATATAATATACAATTTTTTAACCTATATACATATACACTTCACCTCTCTCCCACCCTCTTTCCTCTCTCGCTCCCCTCTCTCCTCTCTCTCTCTCTCAATCTCTCAATCTCGCTTGCCATTTATACAAATGTATATGTATAATATACAGTTATATACAATTTTATACATATGCAACCTCTCTCCCACTCTCTGCCCTCTCTCGCTCGCCTCCCTCCTCCCTCTCTCGATCTCGCTCGCCTCTCTCCTCTCTATCTCCCAGTCTCGCTCGCCTCAATCCTTCCTCTCCTAATCTCTCTTGCCATATATACAAATACATATGTATAATATACAATTATGTAACCTATATATATATATATACAATTCACCTTTCTCCCACTCTTTTCCCCATTTGTCTCGCCTCTCTCCTCTCTCTCCCAGTCCTGCTCGCCTCTCTCCTCCATATAACATGTAGTTACAAATTGTAATTATCAAACTATAGCTATTGGAGAGTAATTAATCATTTTTAAGTGGCCATAAGTGAAAGTTTCCCATATATGTACTATATGTGTTTATGTTCAATATAACCAGAAACATACACAACAGAGTTTGAAACATGTACTAAAAAACAACAATTAATATCATATGTATTAATTAATGAGTGTAAAATAACATAACAGGATATGCAAAAATAGAATGAAATAGAAAGAAAAAGATCGAGTCCACTGAATGCATAATATCCCTTTTAGAAAACTATTCACCTCCAATACCAGAGATTTAAAGAATTACATTCTCTAAGGACGCAACGATTTATTCACCAATCTATTGATACAAAAATAATGGTGTCAGTAAACCACTCAACATGGCCAAAACACACGAATATTTAATTTTACGGAAGTAGAAGAAGAAAATAAGAATATTTGTTGTTTTAAAATAAAAGAAAATCCATCTATTTATAGATAACAAATGGTAGCTTGAGCAAATGTTACTGTGCCTTATTATAAAGATTACAACAATTTAGAAACATCGCGACCCTTCATAAAGTTCAGTAAAAGTCGTAACTTTTCATAAAAGTCACAACTTTTGAAAGAAGTCGCAATTCTTCACTAAAGTCACAACTTTTAATAAAAGTCATAAATTTTAATGAGTCACAACTCTTCGTTAAAGACAATTTTTCATAAAAGTAACATCTTTTCAGAAAAGAAAAAGACTAGTTTTGAAAATAAATAATTTTAAAAAGAAATTATTACTTATAGTGGCACCACATAAACAAACCTAAAAATTATATATATATATATATATATTTCGTGTTATATTTTTTTATATTTAAACTATTTTAAATACTTCAAATTCAATCCAAACAACTTATTTGTCTATCTCTTCTTTGCATCTATTCCTTTTTAAAGTTGAATAGGACATATTACCCCCTTATTCAACTTTAATTCGGAACCCACATTATTATAATTTATAATCTATGAAAAAAAGTTGAATATTCCTTTATTCATTAAAAAATATTAAAAAAATTGTGTGTCTATGCCGTGTAATAAAGTTGAATACCAATTTATACCCTTCTTCTCCAAGTTTTTCAAGGGTATTTCTGTCTATTCGTGAAAGGGCGGCGAAGACCAAAACAATCTATATATACACACAGGCTTAGCGCTTTACAAAATACAGAGCAAAAGAGTTTTAGGGTTTGCGTTGTTCATACCGGAAGCTTCAAAGATGATCGAGGTAGTGTTGAACGATCGATTGGGGAAGAAAGTGAAGGTGAAGTGCAACGAAGATGATACGATTGGTGATTTGAAGAAGCTGGTTGCTGCACAGACGGGTACACGCGCCGATAAGATACGTATTCAGAAGTGGTATAATGTGTACAAAGATCATATTACCCTCAAGGACTACGAAATTCATGATGGAATGGGACTTGAACTCTACTACAACTAGAATAAAATGTAGGTAACTTTTTGGATTCGTAGAATTTTTGGTTTTTAATTTTGGAGTTTGATATTTTATGATGTTATTGTGTTGAGATTTTGAAGATTGATATTGATTTTGTCTCTGATGCTTTAGTTGGATTCGAATTGAATGGTTAATTTATTTATGTGATTAAATTTGAAAGCGAAAAATAATTTGACGGTTTGGTTGTTTGTATCATTGCAATATTCTGTTTGGAGCATAGAGTTAGAAGCGGACTTCTTGCGTCTTAATCAAGTACGGGTATTCACATTGTTTTGCTTTCACTCTTGCTTCTGGCATAATTTATGATTTCAGTATATATAAAGGAGAGGTACACATCAAGGAGAGGTAAAAAATTTATGTTGCCTTGGAATTGTTGAGTTTTGTTCAGTTTTTAACACTCTGGTTGTTTATACATCTGTCCTGTGTGGAGAGTGGGTCAGGGGTAGATGTATTTAGACGTATACTGTTATGCTAAGTCTGTACTACTTGTTACCAATAGATATATTGGATGACTTTTCACCCCAATTATCCATTACTTAACAAAAATTATGTAGGGTGATGCAAGTTATAACAACAGCAGCATAACCGGTGTAATCCCACTCGTGGGTTTCGGTTAGGTATGGTGTGTGAAGACCCTACCCTAACCTTGGTAGGTAGAGATGCTGTTTCAGATTTTTATACCCTCGGCTCAAGGAAAAACCCATCAAAGTAGATACTATAGAAAGCATGACAAAGTAAAGCATGATTGTGTGACAAAAAAGGTGCTAGGTGCAACTCGACTAATATGTATACCTTAACTTCTTGTTCCTTGTTTATTCTCAAAACTTATGGTGTGATCTTCTATTACTAACTTTTAACCACTGGGGTAGGACATGAAAGAAAACCCTAGTCACCCATCGAGTCAACCCTGAACTAGCTGAATGAAGGTCTGACAAAACGTAACATTTGAGTAACTTCTAATGAAGTTTTTAATTCAAGAGTCTGAATGGTGAACTGTAAATCCACACTAGATATTTGAAAGTTAATACCCACAAACAAGTCAGGAGCCTTTTAACTGATGTCTGAATACATTTATCTATGAGGCATTGCCTGAGAATAATACTACTATCTGAGATAAGAAAAATGTGAAAAGAATCGCCACCACTTCACTGAAGTCAATCAAGTCTGTCACTGAATCTAGAAATGTCTGCCCTTAGTCACATGTTTTGTCACCTGTGCACTTAAATCCTGCCACACGATGTGGTAGGTCCAAACAGGCTAAGTACCTCTGTAGGATACTCCCTCAGACACACATGCTACCCCTATATGGTGGAGCTAGACTTCTTGGGATAAAAAATATAATAAACAAGGAAATACGTTTCAAAAGCAAGCATGGAAATCATATGAAGTTTGAAAACTGACACAAGTTGATAAGTTGGTAACTGAAGTTGTAAGCTGATATAACTGAACTGAAACTGAGTCAAAAACTAATGCTTATTGAAACTGAAGCTGAAAACTGGGCAAAAGTAGTTTCATACGATGGCCCTGCATATGTGAGAATCTGGCAACACGTACGTGGTAGGGTCGGCCTATCTCCCTAACAAGCAATTTGGCTCCTGTGAGCCTGGTTAGCTAACCCAGGCATTTCTAGCACTCATGCCTGGGGGAGTTTGGACACTTCTCTCTTAAGGATGTGATCAATAAATGCATCAAAAGAATGCTGAAACTGAATGTGATATTAGAGACACAATTAGTGGCAACACACATAAACATGTAATACAGTCACTCACAATTCATGTAAATTTGTATCGAGAGAATAGAGTGAATGTAATACTTGAGCACAAGAAGACATGATCTAGGAATTTATCCAACACATCGAGCATGTGGGCTCTTAACAGAATTTCCTTTTAGGAGAGTAAGCCTCAACTTACCTCAAGTTCTAGCAAGTGTTGCCTTTCTGACCTTCCTCAACGCTCAACATCAGCAATCTTCGAACAAAATTTGCCACTCTTGGTCTTGTAAGAACTCTGGTTGATCTGAACTCTTTTTATGTTTCACCAAAATTTGTTGTAATTGTGGGTCATAGATACAAGTTGCTGTTGCCTTCTTTTTCGCCAAAGATTAGCCACAGAATAAGTGTCGACACACAAACATTTGTCTTTTAGAGCAAAGAACTTTGAATAGTATGAGTGGACCCAGATTGAAGGTAGGGGATATTCCCTGCTGCTCTGTGTGAGACATTCTTTGTGGAAGATGAGATGATGATTCTATGTGGAAATAATGTGGTTTGTGTGATTTTTATTTGGCTTTATAATACCTGGTGACAAAATGTAAGCTGCAAAGAGATGGAACTGGAATTATTTTGATACAAATTTTTGTTGGAGTTGGTGGGTGTAATTACAATTCAGTGTATTACCTGTAGCTCCAGTTCAAGTTGTTAATCATGCATGCTTAGTAGTCAATTTATTGGTATTTGTGCATGCCATCTTGAGGGAGTTGGTTTCATTGTGCAGCGGCGTGGCATTAGTTTGTGTAGAGCTATCGTTCTACTGAGAAGAGATGTATTTAGATACTAATGGATTGTGTTTATTATAGTGGTATTGGGCTTGCTGGGTACTGGAAGGTGGTTGCTTAGTTATCTATATCTAACTTGAATTGTATGTTTATTCTTTATATTTGATCTGGAGCCTCGACGAATAAATTGGATGGTATAAAAGTTATTTGCATAGTATCATGTTATACACTTAGCTATTATGTTCCTCTACACTGGTGTGTCTCATGACTTTGTTTGATTAAGCTTTACTCTTATTTGTTTTTGGGAGTCTGCAAGTATTGTTTGTGGATAGCCTAGTGCGTTTGATTCTGGAGTTACGAAAGAGTTGCTTTTTGGGAGAGTAACTAATACATTGATGACGTTCTTTTATGGCATGTACTTTTACCTTAAACAGTGATAGAAGCTTGCTCTTGTATATATTGAGATACAAGTTTTGCTTTTTTGTGTTTCAATGGCATTGTTTTACTTAAGCATATCTATCTAGTATGATTTTTGGACATTGATATTCTGTGGTTTCTGTGCCCTATTTTAGGTTTATCATGTGATGGAAATACACTGGTGGACGTATCTCAGCTGCCATGTTTTAAATAAAAGATTGATTGTTGGCTTGTAATGTAAAGTTTGACATGTTAAATCAACTTGAAGGAAAATGCTCAACTCTTGTGAATGGCATGTGTCTGGTTGGTATTTTGCCTTGTGGTACAAGGGGTTTACATATGCCATATGTGCTCTTAGATTTTCTTATCAATTTTATGAATTTTGCTGTGAAATCATTCCTTCATAAAAAAAAATTGAGGGGGGTATATGTGCTCTAAATTACCAAGTTGAGGGGTATAATTGCCCTCTAGAACTTGTTATAAATGTGTATTTCTTTAGCATCCTTAAAGGTAAAATGTTCATTATTATGCGAGTTTCAAACGTATGAACGTGCGTATCAATCCTTTTAGGACACACTAAAAAAAGACCCAAAAAGATAGCGCTAGGTGATAATCATCGTTTTTAATACAGGAATAAATCATTGCGCTGATACATAACAGAGCTTTTGTACTGACACACTTATTGGAGGACGAAAAGGTTCTACTTTAAGCCTCAAACACTATTACAAGAACAACAAATCCGAAGGACTAGTTTTGGGGTAAGATTTTGAGGAAGTTCTTCTGGACTAAGCTTTCAACAGAGTCCTTCACGCTAAATTCAAGTATTTGACGCCTATAGTTTTTGCTCGTTCCCCCGATATTTGGAAATCCGTTTTCTTCAAAGCTACATCCAAATATAAGAATTGTGAGTGAAGATGAATGATGACTTCCCCATCAAAATCACAATGATATCATAGTAAATTAGTTCAAACGTTTGTATGTGCCTTGCATATATCAGAAAGAAGTTGGAATGTTGTTTTGCGTAGGCGATGAAAATATATAGTGCCATCCAGGACATACTACTAAAATGACTACATCATCAGTAATCTTAAGGGCTAAAATTTCCCTATTAATAATAATTAACTATCCTACTTCCTCTTAGGAGCGTTATAAAACCTTGTAGCATTTCTGCTTTTCTAAATTCAAACAGAGAGGAATCAGCTAGTAACCGTAGACTTTCTATTGTCTATGTTGTTCCCCTTTAGATTTCGAATCTGTTTAGACGGTATCATTAAAATCCTAGATCATTGGAAAAAAGATATGTTCCTATTATGCATTAATGTGTGTCAGGAGACTTACCTTGTCTTATGAAGTTGAGCACAGCCTCGGAGGGTAGGCTGCAGAAATGGACCAATGACTACAACTGGATGAAGGGTAATCAAATCAATCCCATTCTGTTTTGCAAATTCCCACGCAGCTTCTTCAGCCAGGGTCTTCGACAGATTGTACCATTGCTGCAAAAATCAAATTTAGAACACAGCCAATAAGCCAATAGTGAAGAGATCAATGCTAGCTATATGTTCTACCTATCTTTTGATGTACGCATATATATACACATCTAATGTTCGAAATATATGGAACAAGGTAATGAAGGAATTTCTGTCATTGCTCAAACTACTTTTTTTTTTTTAAAAAGGGCAGCCTGGTGCACTAAAACTCCAACAATGTGCGAGGTCCGGAAAGGGCCAGACCACAAAGGGTCTGTTGTACACAGCCTTACCCCTGCAAATTTACAAGAGGTAGTTTCCGGGGCTTGAATCTTGACCTCTTGATCACAAATACACTATATTTATATATAGGTTAATTCTAGCTAGTGCTATTAAAGCTTTGATTCTGCAACACAACGTACAATTAATAATCAAATCGAAAAGTATGAGCAGAAATTGAAGCTAAGGAAGTAATTAAAATCTTTCTTTTCTAGAACGATTTTTACTTTATAAATATTACTATTTTAAAGATGAAGGAGAGAAAAAAAACTGACTGAGATTGCGAACAGTGGCGTTGACGGTGTAGCAATAACTTGACCATCCATGAAGCTATGAAACCAGATGCCCCTGTTACACATTGTCTTCCCTTCTCCACCATTCTTACTTTCCATTGCTAATCCGAGTTATTCAAAAACAATACAGAACCATAAGACACTTCAGTTCTCTTTTCTCTTTTTGTGCGACAACACCTGGGGTGGTGGGAAGGAATAAAATAGAAGACCATAGCAAAGGGTGGTGGCCATGGCCCATGTTGGTTGATACTCTTCCCTATGGCCACTCATGGAGCAAATAATAATTTACTGATATAAACCTCTCTTATTTAGGACTATATACTAGTTTGGAGATATGTGCGTTCGCACGTGAATATAAATCTCTCTTTTATTTACTAAATATTTCTGACATCTCTTATCAACTAAAATATGTTGACAAGACGAGCCCAACTCACAACGTTACATAGATTCCGTCTCAACTGCTACTACTGTATTATTTCACGTTTGCTTAGTTCATTCTGTAATTTTATAATTGATTTTGTTCCTATTTTTTATCAATTATATCAATTACATTCTTCTGCCCACAAATGTGGCAGTGTAGAGAGGATTTCATAAATCACAACAAGGTCTTCCCGAGTTCAAGAATGAAGATGAAATGCTGCTTCAACTTAGACATCACCATTTGGTTATAGACAAAGTGATGTGACACATCTATTTGATCACAAGAACAATTAACAGTTAACTATTACCTTGTCACACACAAAACAAGGGCTGAACCCTAAGCAAAATATATAGTTGGAAAATAAAAGGTCAATCAAGACCTGAAAATAGGTAACTTTTACTTGTACAAAATCAACCTGTAATGAATTACATTATCTATGTATTCAGTGTTTGTTACTTATTTAGAAAAAAAAGATTACATTATCAATGTATAAATTAGTTATGCATATAAAGTGGATTTTTCGCCCAAAAATCCAGGGTGTGGGCACGCAGGCACAACTGTGTAGCTCAGGCCTAGTGTATTCCGTTTCCACCAACTTAATATTGTTTAAATGTGGAGGAAGTTCTTTTCCTTCAAGCTTTCAATAGTATCCTTCACGCTCAACTCAAGACATGTGAATTTGACTCCTAATCTTTTTGCTTTTTCACTCGATACTTGGAAGTGTGGGGTAAGAGGCAATCCATCTTTGAAACTGCATCCAAATTTAAGAACTATGATGAATCCCTCAAATATCTTAGAACAAAAATTCTTAATCAAAGAGAAAGATAAGTGAGATTAAGGAACCAAAACATGTTCAACTATAAAGCCTGCAGTGTCTAAATAGTCCACTTCAACTAATCACCTGACATGGAAAAGCAAAATTGACTATCCTACTTCCATTTCTATCGTTTGTTTTCAAAATTGTGCTGCATTTCCTAAAATTGGAACTTTCATTACGTCAATACCTTACAAAACTTCTAATTACTCAGTAACTGTGAACTTGTTACATCTCTTCGGCCTTTGTTGTTCTCCTATTTTGAATCATCAAATTTGTGAAGTGTTAGCAAGATTTAATTCTACATAATAGTTGTTTTAGAAGAAGGATGCAATTAATGATCTTTTTTCTCTGCTGAGAAAGAGATAGTGATGTAAACTAACTAGTATGAAAAAAATTATAATTGTGATACTGGCAACACTTACTTCTTAGGGAGAGTGATGGAAGGGTAAAGCTTTTGAACAATCTTCAAAACCAAAGAAGAGTATCCGTTTGCCCCAACTAAACAATATCTTCCATTTGCTGAAAGAACCTCAAAGGCTAGAATATGTGCATTAGCAACATCCCTAACATCAACAAATCTATATATTCCACCAGACCATGCCTCTTTTCCTTCATCAAATAAAGACAATGTGTCAAGCTTCAGTACTATTTACTAACAAAACCTTGATTTGAACCCCAAACAAGAAGAAAAGCCAAAAATAATTTTTAAAAAAATGTGTAAGGACTTCCGTATAGTAACTAAATCAAATGAGTTGTTTACATATCAGTTGAGCCATCCAATTTTAATACTATTTCACCACCAAATATATATCTAATTCGTTTGGCTAGACTTCTAAAAGTTGTGTGAGCTTTAGCAAAGCTTCTTGAGTGCACATGTTTGTTTTGGAATTTCAGTACACTTTTCTCAACCAAAGAGCTTATCCAAAATGTTGTCCAAATGGTAAGGACTCTAGCTAAAAAATACCCCTAATTTTGAAAGAACTGTATCAGAGGAGTTAAGATTAAGTTCCATGTATGCCTTATGCATGCTTCAAAACCAGAGTGGAGACAAAATATATTTACACCAAGTCCACACCATTTGAGTTCTGCACCAACTCACTTAAAATATTGCCTCAGCTTGACCATCCCTTTTACTGACTAATATTTTCCATGAGGTGAATTGTTTGTCCTAAAGGTTTCATCCATGGAGGGTGTGATGAGTTTCGTTAAAGAGGGAAAATTGAGACTGAAGTATATTGGCTGGCTTGAATTCTTATGAAGGTTGGGGCGGTAGGTTATAGACTGCCTTAGAAGGTTGAGAAGGACTTTAGTAGCATTTACCAAACTTACCATTGAATCAGCATTTACCAAACTTACCATTTCATTCGCAATATTTGGGTTTTTTTAGAGTTAATTTTGTGGGAGGTAAAACAAAAAGTGCTAAAAGATTGTTCCCATAAAATGTTCATCAGTGGCACTGTGGCAGGGTAGCAAATATAAAGTAGGCTTTTAGAAATTCTTACTTCTGTATATAATGGTCTTTAAAGCTTTAGAAAAGACAATTGCTCAAAAAGATTATCAGAAGAGATTCGTGTTCCCGAATCGAGGAAACACTAGCAGAAAACTAGCAATAAGGAAGCGAGGGATAAATGCAGGGAAGAAAAAGTTCTAGAAGGGATTATTAGTCTTCCTAGTCTTCGACACAAGAAAGGGGTGGTACAATCACAAAAGAAGTTTCCAGTTAAATGATCATAAAATTCCAAGATCATTTCAAGCTAGCCAAACACAGACAAGACAACACATGTTCCTACTATGCATTCTATACATAAACAAACTATTTTCATCAAGAGTGTTGTATAAGCAAATTAGAGAAGAAGGAATTGGTGGGGTGGGATTGGGGGAGAAGGAGGTAAGAATATCTCAAGGTGACTTGTGTCACTGAACAAACTTACCTTCTTTTATGACGTCCACTATAGCCTCACAAGAGAAATTGAGCGTAGGCTGCAGAAGTGGACCAATGACTAAACCTGGATGGAGCGTTACCAAGTCAACCCCATTCTCTTTTGCAAATTTCCAAGCAGCCTGCTCAGCCAGCGTTTTGGAGAGTTGATACCACTCCTGCAAACAAAACACCTTCAGCAAGCCAATTGTGAAGAGAATGCTATATAATACTATCTCCAGTCCATGTTACTTTTGTCATTAGCAAACTGAATTTGTTTCTAAATATTTGATGTTACCGGAAAACAAGAAATTCCTATAGTTGATGTGTAAGTTTGGACTTCATCCCATGATAAAAAAGATGTGGAGAAGATCAAATAAAAAAAGAGCACAAGAAAACAAATCGACTTCCAATGCAACTCCAAGAAAGATACATTTTCCGAACCTCTTGTTATAATAATCGAAGGATAAGCCTCATTAAATTGAAAAGGACTACCAATTTATAGACACATAGAACCTTTCTTTCCTCGCAGAATTCAGGATCTGAATACCAAGTCTCATCAGCCACAGCACCAGGGGTTGACATATTTTTATTGCATATAACAGAAGCAGTAGAAGAAGTTATCACAACTCTTCTGACAGATGGTGATTTGGCACATGAACGAAGGACATTTAACGTTCCTTTCACAGCAGGATCCACAAGTTCCTCCTGGAAGACAAAGTAAAGCATGAAGATGTATTTAAAAGCTAACAAACATTTTCCTCCTTAAATACATCTCTTGACATATTTTGATGTCACAGTAGGTTTCTGACCTTAGATTTCCCTGTGAGAAAAACAGGTGAAGCTGTATGAAAGACACCTTCACAACCATCAACAGCAGGATCAAACGATTGCTCTTCAAGTAACTCTGCTTCGAATAGATGCAGCCTCTCATTCGCTCCATCAAGGCCTAGCAAGTGATCCACTTTACTTGTATCCTCTGCGTGCTTATAATTAACATTTTAGAAGCTGGGAACACTCTTATATACACGAAGGAGGAAGGATTAAGAGTAACAACTGAATAATTGAATATCAAATGTATTTGAAACCACCATTCCAGTTTGACTAGAACAATAACTGAATGTTGTGAGAGCTAATTTCATATTACTGTCGTCCAATCAATAACTTTATATAGTTGAAAAATATAAGGTTTTACTTATAATCCACTGGGAAATTTAGGGTCAGGGCTGCTATATTAGGTATAACTACAATCCAATTGGGCATTTGTATTCTAGTTCTACTATCTATGAATAATAGCAAATCAATTCCCTATTTTCAGTTAGAGCTTCTCAAATACATATCAATGGAGTATAGGGATAGGATAACTTACTTTTTCTTCTGGAATACACAAATCAATCTAGAGATCAAATATAATTAAACAAGATTGTAAAGTCAAATATCAGTGCAAACAGAAATTCAAAAAGGAAAAAATCACAAACAAGGAGAGAAAGAGAACTGACTGAGATTCCGAACAGTGGCGTTGACAGTATATCCACGTTGTAGCAACAACTTGACCAGCCATGAAGCTATGTAACCAGATGCCCCTGTTACACATACTACCTTTCCTTCTCCAATATTCTTACTTTCCATAGCCAGATATTATTCAAAAACAATACAGAGATATATTATCACTGATGCTCTTTGTTCATCTCAATTGGATAACTGCCTTAAGTTATCTCAACACTACTCATTTGCGTAACTGGATTCCTAATTTAACCTGACCTACCCGGCTAAATTAGTGTTTACTCCCCCTCCGTCCGGAATTGTTTGTCATCGAAAGTCAATCTGACTAATTTTTAATGATAAATTAGATCATATTAATTTGATATTATACATCTTAAAATGTTAGTCAAAGTTTTTATAGTTTTAACTCTAAAAATAGAAACCGTGACAAACAATTCCAGACGGAGAGAGTATTTTCAATACGTCAATTATGGAAAGAGATTTTGAATTTAAATTGAGGAAATTTGTAATATAGTCACTCGAAAATGCTCCATAATTATAGTTTGCTAATTACGATTTGTAACGACATGGTATAGGCAAAGAGAGTAGTGAGCGAGACTAGGAGTGATGGCAGAGAGTGGGAGAGAGGTGATATATTGGCTAGATAATTGTATATTATACATATGTATTTATATATTCTAGCGAGAGAAACTGGGAGAGAGAGGAGAGACGCGAGCAAGAGAGGAAAATAATTAGTATAATTCGCAGGTACGTTTGTATAATTCACGTATTTTTGTATTATTGAGTAATATAATGTCTGCCTCCTACACATATAATAAAATTCGAAATAACGAATTGATACAAATATAAACATATGAACTTTAAACAATTATACAACATATATTATACAAATTACATTATACAAAATACAAAAATTATACGTTTATACAAAATACAAAAAGTTATACACAAAATGATTGAAGGTATATGATGAAAACTGAAAAACCAAAGGAAATCATCGTTATATACAAATATAAACAATTGTATACAAATACAAATTAAACAAAGAATTGTTAGTTGCGATTTATACAAATATGGTGAATTATATATATACAAACGTGGTTAATATACAAATTTAAAGTCAGCTCACGTAATTAATTGTATAATATTAATCGCGAGTGATAATTATAGTAAACTATAACCATGATGAGTAATTAAATAGTATAAATTTGCTAAAACGCCTAACTTTTTCATTTAAGATTACTTAACCACCATTGGAAGAGGTTTTGTGTTAATTTTACTTAATCAGAACTTTAAGCCCTTACAAAAAAAAAAGTTTTGGTCGGGGACGTTTGAACACCCAACTTCAGACAACAAAATCAGCTAGCAAACCAACACGCTAAAAGATAGATAACTTTTTGTCAAATATGATATTTCATTTATTATATATCCTTGCGAATAATATTAATATATATACTTAGTAAAATAATTCGAAAAGTGAGTATCGTTCGATACTTCTTCGCTCAACATGGACCTGCCCTCGGCGACAATAAAATTGAATAGAGTAGTGCTAAAATGTAATATTACAAAGATATTAGAGTGGATAATGTTTTAACGACTTTAAAATTTGTTATAAATCTTAATCATTTAATCTATTTGAATATTTATAAAAGAAGACATAATATATAGGAGGATCAAGAAATTTTATATCATGAATACTCAATTATTTTTAATTTGAAATTGCTATGTCTAGTATGTGTTAGTACATTTGAATTAATGATTAAATATTACATACAAATAATAGTTGTTCATTATAAAAAGCGATGGGTGTTAAACCATAACATACGACCGCCATTGTATACTAATGTTTTTTAATTTGGTCTCAATTTTCAACTGACATTCATGTCGTTCAACTTTGAATGACATAAATTGACACTTAAATTATCTTAAAATTGAATATAATGACTAATCTTACACGATTTCCATACATACATACATACATACATACATACATATATATACATACATATATATATATATATATATAACAAACACATATAAAAAGTATATTTAATAATCAAGATTTAAATAATTAAAATCAAAATCATCATTTAGTTCAAATAAGTAAGAAAACACAAACAAGTACATTTAACCCTCTATTGATTAAAATGCTTATTTAGTTCCTTAATAAAAACATGCTACATTTTGAAAATTATAATGCTATATTACATTCAAATATGGAGCAATAATACAAATTCAAACATAACACACAAATAACTAATGTAATCTAATGCTAAATAATTCATCAAATTTGACAATTTTCCAAAGTCGAGGGTACGCTCAATTTCAATTGATCTAATATAAAATATGCTTGACTAGATATTATATTAGAAAAATTACGTGAATTGATATATTTTAATAAATAATTATTTATTTTAGCAATATCTTTTATTTATTATCATTTATAGTAATACTATGTTAAACTTGCAATATGCTAAAAGTGGATTATGTATGCAATACATATGAACTATATTGTTTTTAAAAATATATTATGTTTATTAAAATGTATGATAAATGAATTATCTATCATTAAAATTTGTGTTATATGTGAACAAAAAATTATTCTTTGTAATATGAATTAAATTTATATAAAAAATGAATTAAAAGTGATTAACTAAAAAAGAAATACTATTAATATAAATGATAAATATTATTTTATTATACTATATTTACGTAAGTTTCCCTTGTAAGAATCCAAATATTCTTTTTATAGTATTAGAGGGACTAAGTGGCAAATTCTCCGTCAGGGAAAATTTAATTCCGAATAGTATCTTTAATTGCATTCAGGGACAAAAAGTTTTGCCACTGAACAAATAACTTCTTAAAATCTGGCAAAATTTCATTTTTACACTAATTGTAATTTTTTTTATAAGTGATAATTTCTCCGGCACCCGCGACTTAACAGTAGATCCTCCCTGAAATTCCAGATCTCATACATTCTCGGCTTCGTCTCAGCAATGTCGATGGATTCCGAAGATCCGATGGACGAAGCTTCACCGGTCACCGGACTTCTCCCACTGGCGTCGGCTGCACAACAACCTTACATCTCCGAACTCCTTTCTTTCACTCTCGATCGTCTTCACAAAGTAACGTTAAATTGTTACCTATGCAAGTTTGAAATGTAGTTGTTTTTTATTTGGATGGATTTTTATGTATGATTGTATTTTTGCAGGAACCGGAGCTTCTGAGAGTGGATGCGGAGAGAATTCGGAGGCAGATGCAAGAGGTTGCCGTTGGAAACTACCGTGCCTTCATTTCTGCTGCTGATGCACTACATGCGATTCGGGAAGAAGTTTCTTCTGTTGATAAGCATCTTGACTCCTTGGTAATTTTTGCAGAATTTTGGTAATTGCTTTGATTTTGATTTGTTCAATGGCTATTTTCAACTGTCATATGATTTAGAAGTGTTTATTGATCTATAAACAAGATAATAGACTTGAGGAACTAACTGACACTGGATGATTTGGTCTGTTGCACTGCTATAGCTCGAATAAAATCAACCAAAAAACATTGAGATCAATTAAGCAAACTCAAGTAATGTGTTTGAAAATCCCCTCCCTTAACAGAAATATCAAATAGTTACTCCATTCCAGCAGTAACAAACCAAATAGTAGCGCAAAACATATCATCATGCTAATTACAATTGAAGAAGAACTTGGGTGCTGTCAGTGTGGCTTGATCTTCTATTCCGGCTTTTCCTATTTCTATTGTTGTCACCCGAGGGTTTCTCTCTATATTTGAAGCTCAAAGGTGTTCTTGGCCCTCCTTAACAAAAAATCTTACAAACCATTTTGTTCTCTATAGAGGTCAAAATCATAAATCTACAATGGTTACAAAGTTTTCCTAGTAGAGGCTGGGTAAGCCATTTCCAAGTAGAGGTGGATGTCAACGATATATTCCTGGATTGTAGATGGCCTCCTAAGAAAAAAGAATCATCTTATCTACTCCTCTCTGTCTTGAACGGTTTATTTCCTTGAGCACGGTCTGTTACGAACAGCAGCCAGCGTATCACACCTCCAGACTCCAGTAAAATTACCATATCTTGTATTAGGATGGTCCAAATTGCTAACTACTTGATCTTTTGGAAAATATACATATGATCTCACCAATTATTACAACCAAGCCAATTATAAACCTATACAGGTTAATTCTTGAAATAGAGTGATAACATGAAATATTGTTAAATATGGGCAAGATCTCTCCAATTAATTCAAAGTGCAACAAAAGTAAATCAGAGAAACCCATAAAATGCCATAAGGATTTAGCAAATTTAAGCTAAAAAGATTGCCTTATCCGTATGAAGATCAAGCCATCAGTTTGTCTTTTCACTATGACACTGCTGACTGAACTATTTTTAAATAAAAGTTTTCCTCTTTGCTTTCTTAAGAAATAAATTTTAGGTTAGCAGCTTAAACTAATTCAAAGTTAGAGAATTAATCTGCAAAAAGTTCCCGTTAACTTTTTCACTAGATTTAACCAAATTGAGTCAAAATTGAGTTTTTATTTATTTGAACCTTTCAGCTTTTACATCAAATTTGGTAGTGATCAGAACCAAGGAGCATCTCGTATGCTATCTTCATTTTATCTCAACCCTATTTGCCATTGTTTGGGCAAATCTTAAGAAGGCTGCTTCACTGGTATTTTTTGTGTATTCACCTTTATATGCTGCAGTTGTAATTGTGAAACTATTGGCTTGTTTTCTGCTCTTGCTTCCTTTATTTCTCAGTGTAACTGTGCAAATGGGAACTGCAATCATAATTTCTCATATTAAACTTTTTAGGTAGAAAAGGGCATCAAAACTTATGGTTGTGTTTCTTGGTTTGCAGCTCAATGAGATACCTAAGCTAACTTCAGGTTGCAGTGAGTTCAGCACCTCTGCAGAACATATCTTGGAGAAAAGGAAGATGAATCAAACATTGCTTGCAAACCATAGTACTCTGCTTGACTTGCTTGAAATTCCTCAGCTAATGGACACGTATGTTTTCGTCAATGCTGTAAGGATCACTCGTTAGAACTTAGAATTGAAACTGCATCCATGATTTTGAAGGGATGAAATGTCCGTGGTTTTTGCTAATGATATATGTTACCTTCCAAAGTGCAGTTTATGTATTTGACCCAGTAAATTTGTGAGAGAATTGATTTTGGTGCAGACATTGTGATTAAGTTATAATATCTAAATTTCCTTTTTTAGACAAGGGATCTTAGTCTAGTTGGAAAAGACCTTTTCCCTCAAAACATGAGCCATGAGGTTAGTGGTTCGAGTCACCAAAGAGAGTAAAGTGGGAAGAGGTGTAGTGTTCTGTTCTAGGTAGAGGGGTTTAGCATATAAAAAGATCCAAGTTTTCTAATATGTTGGGGGTGATGACCAATATTCTGTTGTTCTTAGAGCCATCGATGCTCATATCTGAAGATTCAGCCTGAATTGTCTTGCATAGCACAGCCATGTAAGTAGTCAAGTTTATTTTTTATTTTTTTAATAATAACATAGAAATACATAGGCGATGGACATAGACCTTACCTCCTATAGCAAAATACTGTGGATCACCATAAGCTAGTTTGAGACCCAACATATATCATATAGGATGATTCACATGAAAAGGGAGACTCAGAACATTATTAATATTCCATATAAGTGAATGAACTCATGTCTTTTAGCTTCCGTGCTTTTGTGGTGCTAGACTTGAGTGGTCTCTTAATATTGCAGATGTGTGAGAAATGGAAACTATGATGAAGCTCTTGATTTAGAAGCATTTGTTTCCAAGCTTTCAGCAATGCACCCCAAGTGAGTCATGGGTCGTTTCTTTGTTTTTCTGTAGGAACTGATATAATTGAATTTGATGAAAACTTACTAAGGTACTTTTGTTTCTTTTTCGTCTCCCCCTGAAGGTTACCAGTCATTCAAGCCCTTGCTGCAGAAGTCCGGCAGACCACCCAATCTCTTCTTTCTCAGCTTCTCCAAAGACTTAGGTCAAACATTCAGGTGCTTTCTGGCATAGATTATTTGATTTTGTAACAGTTATGCTGGTGGAGCATACTGGAATGGAAGTTCTCCATAAATTATGAAGCTTAAGACCTAACTGCTTACAATTTATTGATGCAGTTGCCAGAATGCCTGCGTATCATTGGATACTTGCGTCGTATAGGGGTGTTCAATGAGTATGAGATGCGCTTACAGGTGAAATAGATATATTTTAACAACAGCTGGTCTTACCTAGCAGTTTTGCTTTTTGGTCTTCATTTATTTCATTTGGTTCTTCTAATTTATTTTTTTGACCCATATTTGACCAAATTTGCCCCTTCAACAGTTTCTAAGGTGCCGTCAGGCATGGCTTTCTGGGATCCTTGATGACTTGGACCAGAGAAATGCTTATGAATACCTCAAAGGGATGGTAAATTGTCATCGGATGCATCTCTTTGATGTTGTTAACCAGTACCGTGCGATATTTGCTGATGATACTTCCGGAAGGGAAGAAAACTATGATGGTGGGCTTCTCTTCAGTTGGGCCATGCATCAAATTTCTTCCCACCTTAGAACTTTAAAGATGATGCTACCGAAGATCACTGAAGGAGGTTCTTTATCAAACATTCTTGATCAATGCATGGTGAGCATATATATTTGTGCTAGGCAGGTCATCAAAATTCATTTTGCTCTAGTAGAACTTCTATTTGGCTGTGATCGACCATGATGTCTTCTGCTTGCAATCACAATGAATACTAAACATGTGAAAGAAAATGTATTGCATTTTGAGTACAGAACAAAGGGAGATGTAAATTCCCAGAAATGGCTGGAGAAAGATAGTTAAAGTTTTGTTCGTATTATTCAAGTTATTTGTTGCACTTTAGCCATCCTGCTGGAAATTGTTTTCCCTTCTCTCTATGGTGGGCAGGAAGGCGGGGAGCACTAAAAGAAACAAACATATTTACCTTTAGGTACACTTGTCTGGTGAGCTAATCAGAAGAGCCATATAACTCAAAAGCTAGTCTTAAACCTGTAAGTGTAGAGTCGAAATCCATCCCTTTGTTTCCTTCTAGTCACTTTGCTTTTCTGAGTCAACTTCAATTTCCAACCTATCTTCTTTCTCATTTTGTGGCCAATTTCAATTTTCAACACATCTTTGTCACATTTTTTGTGATCTATCTCCACTATTTGGCCTCTATCTCCGTGAAACCAAAGCAGATGGCATTAACTTTATTGTCCTTCTTCCATGTTAACATCAGAAAATAAGTAGGCTTCAATTCTCTGCAGGCTGAAAAATTCAATCACTTCACATATTTAAATTCTAAACTGACTTGGCTCTGATTGCATAAGCTAAGGTAGAAATTTGCTTATTGTATGTTCTTTTAGAATGATAACTATTTATTAAAAGAGATGCATGCAGACTTTTTCTTATATTCCCTCTGTCTTGTTTGATATGATTTCATTTGAACGGTGTGCAATTTACGATATAATATGGTTGTTATATTTTATTAGTAATATTCCCGCCGTCCCAATTTATGTGATGTTGTTTGACTTGGCACGTAGTTTGAGAAAGAAAGATTTTTGAAGCTTATATCATTCTTTTTTGAGGGACTAGAAGGAAGTATGAATAGCACCAAAATTTAGAATTTGCATACTTAATGAGATTTAAGTTCTTGAAAATTGTGAAACTTCTATAGAATTGTATTATTTTGAGAATTATGTCAAACAATTTCCAAAGGAAAGATTGTCGTTGACATTGTGACTAGGGGAGTATGCCTCCTCCTCTTTTGGAAGATTTTTATATGGGTGGGGTTGAAGAGGGATCACTAACCATCAGTCCTTTGCTGGTTACCTACAAGTTTAGGTGAATACAGGTATGATTTGAAGCCATCTGAAATCAGGCTTGGCAAGTTTCTTTTTTTCATCTATAAAAGGGGTTCATACTGCTTTGGTGTATGTGATAGTTATTGCTTGTTTCATAGTCTTGCAATAGTTGTTTCTGTTGTTGCATTTGTTATTTACTTATTCATGCATTTAATCAAGCTTTGGGTTTTATTCACTTATTGATGCTTTTTTCTTTTTCTGTTGACAGTATTGTGCTATGGGCCTTGGTTGGGTTGGATTGGACTTCCGCGGCTTGCTTCCCCCTCTTTTTGAAGAGTACATACCTGATTAGTTCTTTGTGATTCTGGAATCTTAAAATTGGTCACTAAGCTAGTTCTTTTATGCATTTCATTTTCTGGTTACTTTTGTAGGGTGGTCCTAAATCTGTTTTCAAAGAACATGAATGCAGCTGTTGAGAATTTCCAGGTATATATTTTAGACCAATGGTAGAACTCTTGTACCTAGCACTGTCAGCCTAAATGGGAACACATTATCTAAAGTAATCTTTTGAAGTAGGCAGCCTATCATTCTTCACTCAGAATTTGATAATATGCAAACTTTACTTGATTCCAGTTGGTCCTTGATTCTCATCGCTGGGTTCCATTACCAGCAGTCGGCTTTCCTACCAGCAGTTTGAGTGAAGAAAGTCATGAAGATGTTACTCCTCCCTCAAGTCTAATGGAGCACCCACCTCTGGCTGTCTTTGTTAATGGTACGTTACAAGCTCACTTCACTACTTAAGTAAGCACCTTTACAAAGGTTCCCTTTTGTTCATTGCCTGCAACTGTTAACACACCAAGAAAAGGACAAGTACCAAAGAATGGGATTTCTAGGTCAGCATGAGAGATATCTTGGTTTTTGAATTCAAAATTGTACATTGGGCTCCTGCTGGAGTACTCCGTGTTATGGATGCTAGTAGGTCATTAGAAATGCTTAAATGTCTGGGACTCTGCCTGTGTTCTCGTACCAAGCAAACAAAAGCTTCTTTTAGAATCCTGCAAGTTCATTCATTGTTTTTTTTTCAATGAATAAACAAAGAACAAAGGATGTTAGAGACATACTCACTTTTTCTGTAACTTGTGTGGAGTTCTCCCTGTTTCATCTTGTTGAAAATCAATTTTTATGCCCTTTTTTGAAAAAAAATAAAAAACATGGTTGCTAGAATTTTTGATTTCTGATTATTTTGCAATTGAGAACTCAACTATAGAACTGAAATTGTTTATCTAAGCATCGCTAATTTGGGTGAGTATATCTTCATCGAGTGCTACCAACTACAGGTGTGTAACCTGAGTCTTTGATATAGGCTGAAGATTGAGCTTTATTATTTATCAAGGGAACATTTGCAAGGGATATTGTATGAATTGTTATTTTGATCAATTTACTGATGAGCTGATACTGTCATGACTAATGGTTTCAACACCACCCTGCATCAAGTAGGTGTCAGGTTTAAGGCTTTTCCTTCCATACTCACTATTCACGGGTCCATCAGCGCCAATAAAAAATGAACAAAAGAAAGCCAGTTTGGCCACTGTAATTTGGTATCTCTAAGACTAGCTTCACCAACAACTAAGAATTATTGACCGTTTGAACTGATCAAACCACCTTTGGCTTTAAGTTTAAAGCTCAAAAAAAGGGAAAGAAAATTATCGGCTTATGATTCAACTAATTGCTAAATAAAGTCTTTACACTAATGCAGTCGTTTTTGCATCCAATTTGCAGGTGTCTCTGTGGCAATGAATGAGTTACGACCTTGCGCTCCCTTGAGTTTAAAACATGTGCTTGCACAAGAACTGGTTAAAGGATTGCAGGGTGTTTCTGATGCTTTACTGAGATATAACACTACGCGCATGCTTCGGGAAAATGAATCTCTCCTTTTCCTATCACTATGTCGAGCATTTATTGAGGTAGCATCATAAGAACTGGTTTGACCTTCATGTACTACTAATTGGTGCACCAATCGACTCAAACATACAAATTATGTACCTTTCCAGGTTGCTTTCCCACACAGTGTTACTTGTTTTGGTCGTTGTTATCCGGGTGGAGCTGCTCTTATAGCCGATGCCACAACTCTATTCGATGGAATTAGCCGATTATTGGCAACCTCTTCAGGATCCTCCAGAGAAGTTCCAAAACCAGTTGGTAATTCAGAGGCCAACAGTACATCAGAAAATGGCGACGCACCTAAGAAGGAAAATGGGGAAATTCCTAGTAGTGAACAACCCGAGAGTAGGAACGCAGAAGAGGAACCCAATAATGTCCCCTCAGAAAACGAGGAGAAGCCTGGTAATTTATCATCATGATGATGCATTTTGAAAGTCAGTTTATATTATTAATGATGAAATACTAAAAAGACTCAGATATATGCTTTTTTTTCCTTTTCAATTGTGATTGTGGCTGATTCATTTTGATCACATGGGCTTGTAACATATTTGAGAATATAAGAGCACATGTATGGAAAAAAACCTAATAAGAGCAGCGTGATACAAAAATATACCATAAATTAACCTATTCTTATTTCCCTATAATGTCGGAGTTTAGACATAAACGAAAACAAAATTAATTAGGGCTTTTGTGCTAGTAGTATATATATAAATATATAAATTTCAATTCATAAATTTGTCATGAAGTCATCTCTAGAAGGTGTTGTTAGGCATAAAAAGTGGCTGATCAACAAAAAGTCGAATTCCTTTCGAAGGAATTCACCAAAAACCAATTGGAAGAATGTTGTGGTGACAACTAGTAGTTTTCGAAAGGCGGCGGCTGCTGAACAAGTGGTATTAGATTTTGGAGATGAGTATGGATTTTGGGAGAATTATCAAAGGTTGGAGGTAAAAGATGATTATGAATTTTGGGAGAATTATCTACGCTTGGAGGAAGAAATTGGTTGGACAAAAAGGAAATTGTAAACGGCCCATCAGCAATCATTGTTGTAGATGTAAAGAATTCAGAGTCGAGATGTTATCTATTTATTTATTCATGCAACAAAATCTTATTTGATTTGATTGGGATATTCAGGATTTAGAGTTAATCAATTTTAATGTTATTTGATTTTCCATATGCATATCTTATATAGTGTCGATTTCAATTTGCTTGAAATTATTGTTAACAAGCCAAGGAAGATGATTATTTGATTGCTAAATTTACTCTTGTTGGAATTTTCTGTTTTCCTATAAATCTCAAGCTTATTCATTAGTTGAATTTAGAAGAAAAATAAGAAATGTTACTCAAACCCTTCTTTATTAGGAGTGTACAAGGGACCGTTTGGTTGGTAACGAGTCATTTCATCAGGATTAATTCATATGGAGAACTTATGCCATCGATCACTAATGTATAAATAGTGGTATACCAAACAAATTAATACAAGAAATTTATCCCAACCGTAAGTTTCTTCTAACTTCCGTCACATAAACAACTGTCAAGGATGAGTGTTTATACATTTCTTTCAACACTTGGGCTCATATTTACACATCCACAATTCAAAAGTAAAAACATGAGCAGAAGTAGTAAACTCAACACCAAGAGAACAAAATTTGCAATTACGCTTGTAACAATGGGATTAAAGTTTTAATGAAATATACCTATAAGAAAAAAGAAATTGGAATTACAATACAACAGCTAAGGGATATTGTCATGTTGAAATTAATCAAAGCTGGGAGTTGCTAAGAAACGTGATCATGCATCTGGTATTTTGGAACAAGTTATCTATTTTTTGCCAAACTGCAGATTGAACTTCTAAAAGCTTTCTTGCCTTCTCCTGCAATTTTGACTGACGTCGGACTGTTTCACCATGAATCTGACAAGCACAAATTAAAAGCGATGTTAAGTTCATCATAGTGAAATTTTAAGCAGGACTATCAGAACATTCTTTGAACCTAAACTTGATTATATCTCTCATCAATGACGTGCAGAGAATATATACTAGAGAATGCAGAAATTTACCTTCAAAAACAATCTAACCAGAGCTTGAATATATTCAAAATTGCTTCTGCATGAAATCTCGTGTATAAAGTAATCAAGTAGCAGTTCAATAAAATGCAATTCCTGTCTCTTCTCAGGCTCCTGCTCGTCATCGTCATCTATTATCTGAAGCATTCGCAGCTCCATATCCAATATTGAAGGTGACAAGCTTTTGATATAATTAGTGAATGGTGCAACTGCAAAAGGCAATAAATGTGTCATACCTAGAGTCTGTCCAATAATGAAACGTTAAGAGAAGAAACGGAGCTTACAATTCTCTTTCTCCGCACATGACTTGAGAATTTGCAAGAATTTGGATACTGGAAGATCAGTTTTCTTACTGCTCTCTTCCAATCTGGTATTTTGTGCATTACCCTCCTCATTAGCACCTTCACTTGGTTTAAATAATATCTCACCGGACAGAGATGGAATTGAAGGCAAGAAAAAAGGTGCCTTTTCAGGTTTCTTTGGAGGCTCGATAGGTTTGTTGCGGGCTTTTATTATGTCCAGGTTGATCAAGCTCTGCCATTGACTCTTAGGCAAAAGTGAAAGAGTGACTAGATCTGGAATTTGATGGCTGGAATTTAGAAACTGAGGAGTATCAGAGGACTCCAATGGCTTAAAGATGGTCCTGTTATCACTTTTTTCACCATCTTTTTCAGAAGCAGCAGACGGCATTTTCACACTGACTATTTCTTTTCCACTTCCATATGAAGCAAAGCTGGCTGCTCCAGAGAACATCGCTTGATTGACCCACAGATAAACACCATTTTGATCAACATGCGATGTAGCCAAGATATCCATATTCGGCGATAAAGATAATGCAGTGATAGACAGATCAACTTGTATTGCATCTATCTGTCTAGCTAAAATTACATCCCAGATTCTGAGAGTCCCATCCATACTGGATGTCAAAAGCCATTTCCCATCCTCACTAAAGGAGATGTCAGTAATACGGTCAGAATGACCCTCAAATTTACGAACCAACCTCTGTGCAATAACATCAAATAGACGGATAACTAAGTCATCTGCCACTGTAGCCAAAAGACCATTAGAACGGTGGAACACAATCTTAACTAAGCAACACCCAACCTCCCACTTATATTTTAACTGGCGACGTTTGAAGTCCCAAACTTTTACATCACCATGGTATCCAGCACTTATCATGATGGTGTTTGTTGCATCACAAGCTATGCCAATTACTTCCCCATTGTGAGCAGCACTTTCACCTTCTAACGCATCAACATAATTGCCACGGCTGATTCCTGACTGAAGATTAAACCGCTCAATCCAACCGCTGGCCGTCCCTAGTACAGCAAAGTTTCCACAGGCACTAATAGCGCAAGCCTTGACTGGAGTTGGATTTTTAGGACATGGAGTTAAAATATGCTCGCCAAGAACAAAATTTTGAAGCCTCCATACATAAGCACGCGAGGTGTCCATATGACATGTAACCACATTGCACCAATCACGTTCCCTAATTTCAGCAACATCGAATGCAATAACAGGCTTCAATTTTATCTCCTCCTTTTTCAACTTAAGCTTCTTCGCTCTTTTAGAAACATGTTGCTGGGAAAGTTCTCTACTTTGTTGATCTTGAACAACAGAAAAAAGACGGAATGCTCGATCTTGACCAGCAGATAAGATGTGACGCCCATTTGCATAGAACTTGATACATAGAGGAGGAGCACTATGACCACTTCTAAACCGTAGTAAACGAGGTTCCCCATCACTTGTATCGAAGATCCACATTTTCATTGAATTATCCGCAGATGAACTCATGAGGACAGGCTCATTAGCAAAGAACTGAAGTGAAACTATGGAGGAGTCATGGGCCTCCTTGATGACAGACTGCAGCCTTCTCTTCTCAAGATTCCATATGCTTATAACACCAGATGAACCTCCAGAAGCAAGAAGGGGCTGACCATCAGTGCTGAATGACAAGGCATTAACGGCGCCTCTTGTAGAGTGACTAAATGAAGCTACCTCTTCATCATAGCGAATGTTATGAACGTGAATCTTCCCATCCGCACATCCAACAGCAATAACATCTAGTGCTGGAGATGAAACACAACAAGTAATAGAAGATCCCCATCCCTTGAACTCATATATTTTCTTTTTCGTGCTTATGTTCCAGAGTTGCAAAGCACCTTCTTGACTTCCTAAAACAATCTGTTTACAAGCCACTTAATGAGATTAATCTGTCAAATGAAGCATAGGAAACCAATGAAACTAGCTAAAACTATTACCTTTTTTACGATGCGTGAGTTTTTCATTTTGTTTTGGGGTTTCCAGGGAAGGGGGGGGGGAGGGAGGGTTGTATTAACCATTGTCACAAACCCCATGCTTCAGTTATTGTGTTACTCAAAAGTGAAAAATAGAAAATTCATACCTTATTTAAATAAGTATCTGGATGCATTATGCAGCTAGGGGAGAATTCGTCCTCTAACTTTATGTGTCCGATCGGAGCAAGATTTTTGTCTATACCTTTAAATTGCCATATGAAGATATTGCCTTCAACATCAACACTTAGGACGTGTTCACCAAAAATAAGCAATTGGTTCACCTTAGCACTATGTCCACTCCATGTTGCCACCTGACCAAAGAAAACCGAATCATTTGCACTAAAAAAACATTGAAAGGCTCATTAATTCACACTGAAAATCGACGATGAGCCCAAAAGAATAATCTTAACCAAGATACTTAAAAGGAAAAAATGGGGGGGTTGGGGGGGGGGGAAGGTGTTAATAACATATCAAGTAGAAAAAATGACCCAGTAGCAGGTATCATAAGGACCCAAGCCTCGCACCACTTGATCAAAGTTCGACCTTCATCCAAACAAAATGAAGGCAAAGGAGAGGAAGATCAAGAAGGGGGATTATTCAGCGAAAGATCCTATGACATCAGGTGTTTAGCAGAATTCTTTCCGTCATTTTACTTTAGAAACATCCAGATCATCCATCCATCCACCCATAAGTTATGGGAAGTCAAAACGCATCAAAATTAAAACTTTCCAGAGATCATGGTTTGTTTGTGAATGAGAAATTACAGAAGTAACAGTATAGCAATAATGGCCCCAACACAAGGCTAAGTAATCTTCAAAGCATATTAGAAAATTAGAGGGCGTTCTTCAAACTGATACAACAGTAATGTGATCAATCATCAAAAGATTCTTTTATCTCTTCATGAAAGTTTGTTAGAGCCAGGATGCCTTAATGGTTGAGCCTCCTCAACAAAGTAAGTTTTGTGTGTGTGAGTGTGTGTGTGTGTGGGGGGGGGGGGGGGTTTAAAGCAGGCAAGATCAAGATTTATATGTTTAGAGGAAAAAACAAACCTGATGAGCACGCTTGACAACTGCAATGTCACTCCCATAGGCAGCAAAAGTATATTCACGATAAGAAGCAAGAGCTCGAATCTTCTTTGGCAATTGTGGGCCTTTATTGAAATCCAAATATGAATATTGAGGAAGTGCAAGGAAAAAAATAAGGATGAAATTAAATAACGCCACAAAGAATTAGATACTAGTTTTTCCACCACACAATAGGTTGTACACCACTTAAA